GATTCGGTTCCGTACTATAATTAAATTTTTTAACATTTAAAATAATACTATATAAATACACCTGAAAGTAGATACTAATATTAATAACAAAAAGTAGATATAAATACCAAGTTCAATCTTAACTTTTACAAATTAACGTAATCTAATTTAATAACATATAAATAATAAGTTGTCAAATACAAATACGAAAAAGTAAATATTANAATAAGAAAAAAATTATTAATTTGTTTAGAAAAAATAAAAGAAATTAATTTATCCAATATTAAAAAAAAAAATCGGTTCTTATTCAATTCTTTGGTTCTGAGTCTAGAATCGAGAACCGAACCAAACCATTCGGTTCTCGATTCAAATACCCGTTTGGGTATTTCATTTTAAAAAACCCGTTCGGTTCGGTTTAGTTCCGGTTCGATTCGATTCGGTTCAGATATTTTGCCCATCCCTAACTGTACCAATCCAGGATAAGAGTCTTCATCAAATACAACGTGACGTGAAATATGGACATTTTAGAAAGTTGGATCAAGCAATAGTACCCCTTGTGACCCGAGCTATAACCAAGGAAAATACATTATTTGGTCCTGAATTCTAGCTTGTTGGATGTATAGGGGCAAAGAAGAGGATAGCAAGTACATCCAAAATTTCGGAGATGTTGGTAATCAGGTGGAGAGGAAAATAATTTTTGGTATGGATTGATATTGGCCAAAACTGGAGTAGGGAGCCAATTAATTAGGTAAACTGCCGTGTTAAAGGCATCTATCCAAAATCATTTGGGAAGTTTGTGGCGAGATTGTCTAAGTGTGGGGGCAAGATTGTCGATTGAGAATTCCATGTTGATTGAGGAAAGAGGAAAATCGATTTAAATTAAATTCACTTTCACCATCTATCTAAAATTTCTTGATTTTGTAGGTAAGTAAATTTCTATGAGGCATTTGAAGTTGACAAAGTCAGCAAATTCTTCCTATTTATGACGTATAGGATAAAACCATGTAAAGCGAGTGAAGTCATCTATGAATATCACGTATTAATTACAACCACTTGTCGAGCGGAGGGGGGTTGTCCAAATGTCAGAGTGAATTAATTTGAGAGGGGCATGTGTTTCACTATTGGAATCAGTAAATGGGAGTTTATTGCTTTTTCCAAGTTGACACGATTCACAAAACTTTTATTTATCTCACTAGAAATAGGAAAATTTTGACATTTAATTAAAGATCGAACAATTTTATCAGCTGGATGTCCGAGTCTTGAGTGCCATCTAGAAAGGGTAGTTTTGATGCCTAGAAAAGCAATGGAGAAAGATGAAGGAGTAGTTGATGGTTGTTTCTTTTTCAACTGAAGTGGATACTACTCGTTTTCACTCTTGCCTATCAAAGAGTTGCCCATGTCTTGGTGTCCTCCAAAAAGAAGTGAGAAGCAGTGAATTTAAAATAGAAACTATTATCTAAGCAAAAAATTTGTATAGACAAGAGGTTAGTTGTAGCAGAGGGACAATGGAGAGTATTTCTAAAAGTAGAGGTGGAATGTGCATATTTAATGAGAGTAGAACCAGTATTAGAGATTGGGAGTCCAACGCCATTACCAACCTCCATGGTTTCCTTTCCTTTAAATGGTTGCTTGTCAATTAGAAAATCTTC